GCTTTGATTGTGCTTCACATCATCACTAAGTGTCAATTTTCAAGCAATGTAGGAGGTTTCTGGCACAATTTGTGGCAAATATGAGAGAAACGAAGTGCTTGTCCACTTGCAACATTTCTGAGCAATAAGCAAACACCCACATGTGTAATTTGGTGCACTTTAGTGGTTGCAGTGTAAAACCAACTGAACCAAAAGAAATGATTCAATGTTACAAAAACCAGACTTTAGCAAACAAACTAGGTGTGAAAACAGCTGTACATGACAAAGTGGGGGCAGGTGTAGGTGTATGAGGAGAACAGAGATGGATCCTTAGGAAGTGGCAAACCATGGGCCCAGTAGGACAAAACTGGGAAATGTAGCTTTAATACAGATGAAAACAAATCAGTTAAGTGCCACATTAAAACAGACACAATACATCACCCAGGTATCAGAGATCACACTAAAATAGGTCCCTAACCTCTTAAAGGCTGAGCGTTGCTATAAAACACAGCCAACATGACTAAATGAGCTGCTGGCTTAACCCTGCTTTGTGAGGATGGTTCTGGCTTATGCCTAACTCATCCCCTACTGAGAGGCCAACTTAAAGGCCTTGCGCCTCTTCCCAATAGTGAAGAATGCCATCCGTGTTAAACCTCGGCTTGGTGAACGAGTCAGGGTGTGAAAGCTGGGTAAAGCTGAGCAAACTCTGACGCTCGTGCGCCCAGACACCTTCAGCGGGGGTCGATTAAGCAGTCTAAGCTGCGCTGCTGTGCATACGGAAGCAGGGCTAAGACCAGCGTGCCACGAACGCCCCTCCTGGGAGGTAATCTCTCCATCGGATTCTCGCGCAGGAACCGAGGTGGCGTTCTGTGTATACACACACACACAAACTCCCTCGGCAGGCTGCAATGTGACGCTCACACCAACATCCCACATTATCAGGCCAGCTTACTGAAGCCCTTGAAGGTTTGCGGTTGCAGTATATAGCTGGGAGACTGCATAAAAATCAAATGGTTGCAAATTACAGTGTAACCCATCTGCAATTCTAAACCCTCCCTTTCCCTTTCCTTCTCACCCCCAAGTCTCACGAGGCCTGAGCTAACCATGTCAGCATCCAGCCTTGCCCCAAAGCCCTCCAGCAAATGCTATAAAAGAATCAATCAAAATGCGATAAATGGCCGAGGATGGGAACACTCTCCTCCAGAGCGAACTCTGCAAAGCATTTTTTTTTATTAGGAGACGTAAGGTAACGTAATGTGATATGCGTCAACCACATCTCAAATAAATTCAGAAGTCATAAAATAACAGGAACTGTAAGGATCAACCAATTGTATCTGCGGTGCATTGTAAATTCAATATTGTGTTAACACTCAAAACATTCAGGATAAAAAACTCCATGGGCGAGCATGCCAAGCCTATAAATCGATACATTAAAGGAAGAGAATAAATAAAATAAGAGCTGCTTTTCTCACCAGGGAGAGATACCCTGATTCTAGAGTGAAACGGTCTTTTATTCCCTTCCTTACTGAAAAAAAAGGAAAGAAAAAAAGGAAAGAGAGGGAAATGTTTTTCCAGGATTCCCATTGCTAGCCTACCTCCTCAGAGATCTGAACTGTAAAAGGAGACCAGCTCGCAAGGTCATTCAGTTCGGTTCTTTACAAAAACAACATACTCCGATTCTCATGTATCACCTTAATCACATCCCAGCAAACATTAAATGAACATGCGAGCCTGGGAAAACCAACATCTACTTACAATTAGTGGATGAACACAAGATTTATCGAAAACAATGACGCTGAAAAACGCTTGGATATCTTCTGACCTTGGCTTCAACTCTAAGCATGAGATATACCAGACACTCCACAGGTGTTAAGCCTTACCCACCACACCTGGCCTTCTTGAGAAACCAGGCTGGAGTCCAGTTTAACACATTGGCCTGGGCATAATCTCAATCGGATGTCCATGATTTAGAGCAGTAGCTGTTTGAAGCCCTTAACGGACTCTGTTAAAAAGCAGATGGTTCCCATGCCCAGGTGCTGGAGAGCTGGAGAACATCTAGAGCAGAGGAGCTGGAGACATGCACTGCTGCTGAGGAACACCTGCTTGTGCTCAAACCATGAAATCAGACCAACCAGCTTTTCCAAGTTCCAGCCATTCCCCAGTCTACACTTCCACATATGAACCGTGCCCATGATTCTCTCAATATCCCTTAGGGGTGCATCGATCATGAATTTTTATAGCTGATTCTGATTCCAGTTTCTTTAAAGTCAAATTGGTGGATGACAGATTTTTGGCATATTTTTTAGCCATTTTGGGGCCGGCAACAAAGACAATATCACTGTTTATTTGCTTTGCACATGAAGCTCATATTTTGCAGGCTAAATATACAGACTGATGTGAAACACACAGGCTGATGGCTACATATAACACACGCATGGACATGCACACACTGCTGGATTACGTTACAGAACTAGATGTAAAAACACTGAGATGTAAAAGTCAGAGACCACCCAGCATTTATTTAATTTCCAGTCAAAACAACCAATACGTTATTCATTTTCAGGAGATATTTTTGAGTAGACTAGATATAAGATAATCCACTTGGATAAAGAACAGGGAAGAATGAGTTTGAAAAACTAGAGTTCAAAAAATATTAAAACTAACAGAGAAAATGGGACTCCTAACAACCATGCAAGACTTTGTTGGTCACCAAAGTGTCTCCATCACATAAGACAACTCGACGCTATGAGTCTGAAAGGATGTGTAGCTTTCAAGAAGCTGTTACTGAGAAAAGGAAACAACAAAAAAAAATTTCACAAATTAAACAAAGAAGCTGCTGGTGTTCTCAGAACAATGGACTGTCAACCCCAGAGTCCAGTCCTCAACATTACTGAATGTGTTTGGATCATAGGAAGCAGAAACTGCAACCAATTTCTAAGACTGAACTTTAAAGCTGTGGAAAAAATATCCCTGCAGATTTTTTTTTTTTTCCTGATACTGACAAATTAATAACTTAAATGACTTAATGGTTATTTTGACTGGAAATTAAATTAATAAAAGGTGGTCTGTCAGTTATCAGGGCACTGCACGTGATAAAAGCGCAACATAAAAATGCATAATCTGATCGCCAAAATAAATATTAATCCGCTGTGCTCAAAAAATGAATGGTTGGATTACCTTAATTCAATTATACCAAATATTGAATTCCATTTAATCAGACAGTCAGTTTACAAGCACTTTGATACATCAACATAAAATTCAACTGTTATTGGAACAAAAAATAAACATTTTTAACCAATTTATTTGAGTTTCATTGAATGGATTTCTCCTTGGCTCAACAAAAACCATGCATTGAAATGCACTTTCATTCATGTCTATCAGTTTTACATGAGGCAATTACTTAAAGACAACTATTTTTTTAATGTTGACATATTTTCAGTTTGTAAGTCCGAAATCCCTTGTAGTTCATTTCTTTGAGTGTGTGTCTTAGAAGCAAATGTCAACTAACACCAAATGTCATAATAGCAAATGTCTCCTTTTTATAAAGAGAGATTACATATTTTTAGATATTTTTAGATTTTTTTGGAAAGGAACCAGGTTCCAAACATTTTTACAGAGAAGGTCATTAAATAATTTTAAAAAACAGCCTCAGAAGATAGCTATGAATGGACGACTGATGGCAAATCGGTCCTCTGCAACCATCTGTCTCCCTCTTTCTGACCCAGTAATTGTGTGGGGGAGGAATTCGATGTGTTTTTTAGGTAATAAAAATGTAATCAATCTAAATAGCTTGGTCAAAAAAGCTTCACTGAGACACTTAATTGCGTGCCATTCATTAAAAATGTGATTTTCTTGATCCTCTCAGATCTCACCTTTTCCTCTCATCTTTTACTTGTGGGTCACCTGGACATTAAAAGCAGAGACTGACTTTGGTGTCATAACCACCAAAGATGCAACGATGGCTGCAGCACTGGAGTGAAGGTCAGTACTACAAGGCTAGCATTGAATAAAGAGGTGAAAAAGGGTTTCTCAGGATAAAGGACTGAGGAAAAACATACAGTGTTTTAAAAATCCATTTCAAAGATTTGCTCTAGCCACAGAGTTTGTGGCTGTTTGTCAGTGTGGTGAGAACTTTGAAGAGGGTCAAGGCTAAGAGAGCTCTCAGCTTCTTTAGCTCCATGAGACTAACTAATGGAAGCGACTAAAAAACTATAAACTCGCTGACACTGAGCTGCCAGGGTGAACTCTTCTAACCACAGACTCATGCCAAAACAACTCTTGCTTAAAAGCAAAACAGCCACTCATGAGTTATTATGCCTTTTGAAAAGAAATGAAATGACTCATTTTTCCAGTTTGGCGTTGTTTTTGCAGGTTTGCCATGGGGGAAGTAAACAACTCGAAGAAGAACATCTTTATCTTTTTATGAACTCTCAAGAAGATTAAATCAGGTTTTGGTGATAGGGCAGTGGCCTCCTGTTGAATATTAAGTGGTTCACTGGCAGTTATGCCTGTTGCCTAGCGAGGGCTATGAATTTGCTAGCTCAGTTTAGTTCAGTTCAATACTTTTTCCATTTAGTAGAAATGGCATTTAGCAGCCTAGCGTTCACAAATACACGTACAGCATTCAGCGGCCCAGCATTCACAAATATATCCAACACTAACAAAATGTACAAAGCAATCAATGAACAACAATTAGTCTGCAAGAGGAGCGGAAGAATGCGCTATTACTGTCGTCTCGGTCCTGCAGTATCAGACTGTAGGCAGCTATACAAAAGTCTGAATACAAGGCCATTCATCTTTAATGAAGTTTGAAACCATCACAGACACCTCTGCCAAACAAGTGTAAATAAGGACAATATAATTGGAAATACCAATGGGCAATTGCAATGAATAGGCCATAAACACACCAAGAATTGTACTGACCTTCATCTAGAATGTCAAACTACGCAGCATAACTTTCAAGCAAAACATCTGGCCCCACGAGACTAAGGCCAGGGCAGAGGCCTTGATGAGTTACATACCTGTCGTTGATGCTCCAATTGAGGCAGAGGTTGAGGGAGCTGAGGTTCCGGCACTTTCTCACCACCTCCATCACAGTCTCATTGTTAAGCTCAGATATGTGCCGAAGATCCAGACTACTGAGGTTCCGCAGCTATAGTGGGGGGGAGGGGAACACTGAGATTAATAACTCGAACCAAATGCACTGTTATCTTCTATTCAGCATTTGCTGACAGGTGGAGCTAGCCTGGCAAATTACTTACTAAATATTTTTTTATTAGAGAATAAAATGAGTAAAAAGATTGCTCCGCAGCAAGCAAACTGTACGATTAGAGTACATTAGGACTAGTGTGGCTGTAAATTAGCTCCATAAAGTGAATATAAAAGTTTGAGTACATCACGTTTTGTTTTTGTGGTCTCATTTGTTTGACTTTTCACGCAATAAAAAGCATTTCAGAAGGGCACTACTAGATGATTGCAATATTCCCTTTCAGCTACTCTTCAGCTAACGTGTAAGACTTCACAATTCCCCTGGAAGTCATGAATTTCATCAAAGCAAACATTTGCCGTAATGAACAGACTAATGTTTTCAGAATGAAAAAAATAACAAAGTTTGGTTAAAGGGAGAAAAAAAATCTCTCGCTCGTAATAATACAAAGTTACATTGATGTTCTGGGACAAATAACCAGAGTCCTATGAAATCTGCTTAATGACTGGATCTTAATGGTTCATTAGCATGTAATAGCTTGTACAAGAAGCCCAGGCCCCTAGAGTTAAAGGAACATTCTTCTGCTTAATAACAGACAGGCTTCACTTCCTTTCATAAATCTCCACTTAGCAATCATACCTCAAAATTATGGCCCAGCAGCGCAGGAGGCTACAGTAGAATTCTAATCACTTCTGATGAGGGCTAAATAGAGGCAATGTTCAGGTCAAATGCTCTGCTCTAGAGACAATGGAGTTCCTGTGTGTGTTGACTACTAAATGCAAATATGCACCTATTTCTTCCTCTATGCACATCCAATACTGACGGAGAATCTTTAAAGCAATTACTAGTAATGAGAGCCTAATTTATCATACGTCAGTAATATATATCAGTCTGAGTATGAATACCGCCCCCCTTTTACATCCTTGATAGAACAATGTATTACAAAGTCACCAGCCTACATTGAAAAGGCCTATTTTTTAACATGAAAGTTTGTGATATAACATAAAACACTGTTAAAATTTCAAAACATAGCATTCACTCTCCAGTCCATACAGTCCTTATATAAATTATACAGTTACATGTGTATAGTCAAGGTTCTTAGGACTTTAGGTTTTAAGCTTTTTGGTACATAAAACAACACAAACAGAATACATGGACTACACACCCTTTAAAATATAAAGACCTCAGAACAGTTTAACCTGTGTGTCTATTAATGTATAGTGTATAATCAACACTGGGCTACTGCAATATGTATGGAACAACACTATGTAGGGGTGGCCGGTTACCATGATAAATTACTGTACTGTGTTAAAGTCAGAGATTACCCTTCACTTACTTAATTTCCAGTCAAAATGGCCATTAAGTATGAGTCATTTTAACCTCCAGGGAAATAAAACAGAAAATATACATTAAACAGAAAATTACAAAGAAGCCTCAAGAGCTAAACATCATTTTAAATATTTCAGTATGTAGTGTCTCCACTTGTTGCCTTTATTATAGCTTCCATTCTATTTGGGAGACTTTGCTTTCAGTTTTTCAAAGAAATCTGAAGAGATATTTCTCCACACCTCCAAAGCTCAGTCTTAGTTGCATTTTCTGCTTTTTAAGTAATTCCAATCGTTCAGGTCTGTCCAGTCCATTATTCTGAGAACACTAGCAGCTTTGTCTAATTTGCACATTTTCATCTCATCTTCTCACAGTGGAAGGATGGACAGAAACAACTGTGGAATGTTTCAGATCCAAAGCAAAAGTGGAGCTTGATGTTCTCTTATCTCTCAAAGACAAAAGCTTTATGGATTGTTGAACTGTGACCATTTTGGCAGGGTCTTGCACAAATATTAGGAGTCTCTATATTTTAATAATTTCTTGAACTTAAGTTTTGGGAACTCATTTTTTCACTTATTTTCCTTTGACTTTCCCCTTTCCTTACGCAATTGGATTATCTTAAATCCAATCTAATCAAAAGTATCTCCTGAAAAATTAATAACTTGTATTTAATGGTCATTTTAACTGGAAATTATACAGTTTCTGACTTTTGCACAGTACTACAAATCATAATAAGATTTTCTGAGCAAACTGTGGGTATCAGTGCTTCTACAACAGTGTCCAGTTGCATATTTCAATAAAAAAGAGGTTTAGAAGAGGCTCCCAATGGGCATAGCAAACTAAGGTTTTTAGCTATTGAAGATCATAATGCAGCCCTATTGGTGCACTGTGTCTGTTTCATAAAGCCTCAGAAAGTTCATAAAGTCCCAGAAAGCTCATAAAGCCTCAGAAAAACAAAATATCTTGATACGCATAATACTTATTGTGAAAACGTCAAGTATCATGACCTTAAATTTCCACCATTTTTCCCAACTCTTGAACTACGTTGAGTCCATTATCTAACACATCAATATAGTTTTAGCTTCATTTGTCTGTACTATTGCCTTTACTAACTAAAGCCTCATGCTGTTGAGTGCATGCTGAAGTGAAAAACCCGGTAAATATCTGTATTAAGCTCCACTTTCCTCCATTGCGTCTCTTCTCCTGAATTCATTACACCACAATCAATGGAAGTACTTCACCCAAGGAGATTAATCATCTCTTCATCCTCAGATAATCGCCCCTTCCGTTTCTCACTTTCTGCCTCCACCTCCTTCGCTCACAGACGCCGTTGCCGTCCTCCCTCTTGCTTTTCCCTGCATTTATTTCCATCTTCCGTTTCTACACAGGTGGGGCAACCGCAACAAGGCCACCCAAAGTCATTCTGCACTGATTCTGATCTGGATATGAGAGGTATCAGTTCATGAATATGCATTCATACATAAGTGTGTGGAAAAGCAATACAGCCTTGCTGAATAAATGCAGGTCCTGCTTACTCTGACTCAATGAGCGTTACTAACTAACTCCACTTTATTGCAACGGCAAGGAATGACACACATAAAATTATGTACACCTGCACTGCTATTCACAAGGGCTTTATTTATTCAATTACATCATCGTTGCCTAAGTGCAATGATGGAAAATGAAACTATGAGCTACATCAACTGGGCACTAATAAAAATATCATTACTGCAGGAGTCGCCAATATAGGGTTTTTCTGTACGTCAGTAAACGAAGCAGATTTGACAAGGTCTACAGAGCCATGTGAACCAGAGTTGGACCATGTGCTTGACATGCAGGGCATGTTCAAACAGATCTACTGTTCTCTCTCCCTCTCTCTCACTATCACTCTATTACTCTTTACCTCAGGTAATGTTCTGGTGGCATTCTCCATGCTGTATTTCTCATTTATAATGTTTGCATACAGTACAACACATTCTGCATCAGATTGATTGAGAATGTGTTGAACATGGTTCTATATAGAATCTTGCTATACAGCACCAAAAAGCGTTCTTCTACTGTTACAGTGTCAGTTTTGTAACAACAGAAGAAAGCTTTTTAATGGTATATACAACCCTTCTTCAAAAAGATTCTAAATAGAATCATATACAATGCATTCTCCACCAATCTGAAGAATCATTTCACGATGCAGATAACCCTTTACGTATTCTAATTGTTCTAAGTGTTTATGGTTCTATATAGAACCACTGTCTTTACTAAAGAACTCTTGAAGAATCATCTTTAAGATTGTAGTACACTGAAAAAATGACACACTGAATTTGACTGAAATGGGTAAATCATTTCCACATTTAAGAAATATACATATAGCCAAAAATATGTGGCCACCTCTTCTAATTACTGAGTTCAGGTGTTTCAGCCACACTCATCGCTAACAGGTATTTTAGTCACGCAATTTCCATAGACAAGCATCAACAGTAGAAATGGGATAAACTGAAGAGCTCAGACGAAACTTTTACCACAAGTCAGAAATTTATGCTCTGTTAGATCTCCCCCAGTCAACTGTAAGTGCTTGTGCATGTAAATGCATGTAAGAGCAAGAACAGCCACGACGTGGTAGATTGTGCAAATTCATAGTGTGGACTGCCAAGTGCTGATGTGTGTAGCGTGTACAAATCGCTTGTCCACTGTCACATCACACTCTAAACAGTTCCGAATTGCCTCTGGAAACAACATCAGCACAAAAACTGTGCATGAGGAGATTCACAAAATTGGTTTCCATGGCTAAGTCGTGAGTCGTGCAGTCGTGCAATGTCAAACATCGGCTGGAGTGGTGTAAAGCACACCACCACTGGCACTAGAGTAGTGGAAACGTGTTCTCTGTAGTGATGAATCACACTTCACTATCTGGTGGTCTGATGAACAAATCTGTGTTTTGTGGATGTCAGAAGAACACTACCTACCAGAATGCCCAGTGGCAACAGTGAAGTTTGGTGGAGGAGGGATAATGGTCTGGGGCTGTTTTTCAGGGTTAAACTCAGCTCCTTAGTTCCAGTAAACATTAATGTTAATGGTACAGCATACAAAGACATTGTAGACGATCTCATTCTTCCAACTTTGTGGCAACAGTTTGGGGAAGGCCCTTTCCTGTTCCAGCATGACTCTGCCCCTGTGCACAAAGCAAGGTCCATAAAGACATGGTTTGACAAGTTTGGTCTGGAGGAACTCCAGTGGCCCTGACCTCAACCCCACTGAATACCTTAAATTGCCAGCCAGGCCTTCTCGATCAACATCTGAGCTTGACCTCACAAATGCTCTTCTGACAGAATGGACACAAATTCCCCACAGGCACTCTCAGATATCTTGTGGAAAGCCTTTCCAGAAGAACGGAGGCTGTTATAGCTGCAAAGAGGGAGCCAGTCCATATTAACGTCCATTGTTGAATAGGATGTCCAGCAAAATCATATGATAGTCAGGTGTCCTCATACTTTTGTCCAAATAGTGTACATACTTCTAGCAGTAACTGTGCTGATGTAAAATAGGTACACATTTGAGTCAAGTACATTCATCAAAAGCATAATTTTTCTCCCCAGTGTAACAGTTCTGTGCCTTACAACAATCAT